GCTCATGCAACTCTTACCACAATCCATCCATCCATTCATTGTGTCCAGCACATTTGTACATCTGTTGCCATCATCATTCTCAAAACATTTGCTTTCTACTTGAGCCCTTGGTATCAGCTCCTCATTTTTTCCCTTCCCTCCCTGCTCCCCCCTCCTTCATGTACCCTTCCTTCTGATTATTTAACAAACTCTTGTGACCAGCTTACTCTAGATTAATGAACTATTTGCAAGCAGAGCACACCACTAATTCATCTCTGTCCGGCTGCTTTTGTTCCCATATTTCAAAGGCAAACAAAACAACATGAGACACAGAGAATCTAGCCCCCAGACTTAGACAGTCAGTCTCAAGCAGAACCAGCAGAAAGTTCTCGCGCACTCTAGGGCAGAAACCTGGCTCTTCCTCCCAACCTCTGTCTGTCCTGTTGCTTCATCTGGGACCTGTCATCCTGACTGTCAACCTGGGAGCCACCTCTGACTCACATCCCCTCTCTGCCTTCCTTTGTCTCTAAAGCCAGTCGGGTCGCTAATCCCTACTGTCCCCATCATTTTTCACTGCCACCACCCTTAATTCAAGTTCTCCTCAAATTATTCCTTTAGTGTAGCAGTTGCTTCTTAACTGGTTCCACCTCTCCCAGCTTCTTGCTGGACAAGCCAATAGGGCCACCGCCCCAGTAACCCTTGGAAATAATTGTAAGTGGCAGGAAACCACAGGGCCAGCCTGGTTTCCACCTCCCTGCTGGTCAGCTGCCTCCCCTCGCCCCTCGTTTCCTCCCCATTCCTCCCTGCTCTGGCTTCGGGCTCTTTCACTCAAGCCAGCACAACTGTGTTGGTCAGAGTTAGTAAGGAATGCTTTAGGTGCCGAGGTCCAGCAGTGAATAAGACAAACAGAAATCCTGGCCCCCGTGGAGCTTAACATTCATGTGGAGAAATGGATTTTTTTTTAAAAGAAGAAATAAATCCATTGGGTAGTTATGAATGCCAACAAGAGACTGGAAGTTAGCCACTCGGGATGTAGCATTATTTCAGGGAGAGTGGTCAGGGGAGGCCTCTCTGAGGAGGTGAGGCTGGAGGGAATGCTCGAGGGAGTTAAGTGGAGAACCGGGGCAAGAATGTACAGGCAGGGGGCTGGTGCAAAGGCCCTGAGGTAGGAGCACGTTTGGTGTGGTTGAGGAGTATTGCAAAGGCCTGTGTGACTGGCATGACAGGGAGAAACGTCGGGACCGGGATGAGGTCAGAGAAGGAGCGGAAGTGGATGAGTGAGTGAGAGGGGAAGGGCTTAGAGAATTTTGAGTAAATCCACCCACTGCCATCCAGTGAATTCTGACTCATAGCGACCACACAGGGCAGGGTCCATCCGCCCCTCTGGGCTTCCAAGGCTGTACAGCTTTAGCGTCTGCTTCCTCCCTGGGAGCAGCTGGTGGATTCGAACTGTTGACCTTGCGATTTGTAGCTCAGCTCATGACCCACGACCTCACCTGGGCTCCCTGTCTGAGGTAAGGGCTGGCACAATCTGATTTATGGTTTGAAAGGCTCACTCTGGCCTCCTTGTGCAGAACACAAGGAAGCGCAGGTGGAAGCAGCCTGAGAGGAGGGAGCCTAGGGAGCAGGGGCAGGGGCTTGATTCTGGAAGTATGCACGGCTACGCATGGGTCCAGATGAACAGAGGAGTAGTTGATATGGAGCACTGAGATGAAGAGCAGGCTTGGGAAGTGTGGGTGGGCGGGTGGGTTTGAGCCAGGGGAGGGGGCAGAGCAGAGAATCAGCCTTCAGTTTCCCGAGGGTTAACTCTGAGAGACCTGGTTAACATCCAGGAGGCAGATCTCAGGCTAGGGGGTCGGGGACCAGATGTGAATTCGGGAGGCATTAACCTTTAAGGCCGAGCCGCCTCGAGGTACAGAGGTACAGAGACACAGAGCTGAGCCTCTGCACTTCCTCCCCTGGGGGGTGGTGGGGGGTGGGGGGAGATTGCCACCAAGTCTATTCTGATTCTGGGCAGCCCGGGGGGTAAAGGAGAACTGTCCTGCAGGGTTTCCAAGGCTGTCCATCTGTCCAGAAGCAGACTGCCACCTCCATCTCCCCGCAGGGTAGGTGGCGAGTCCACGTGGCAGCTTCTCAGATCGCAGCAGCTGAGTTCTACCAGGAGGGCTCTTTTCCCCTCCTCCAGACCCTCAAAATGCCCTCCTCCGTCACCTGTCACCTCGTCTCCATTCAACGCTCACCCATCCTTCGCCTGAGGCAGCTGCCTTCTCTTCCTCCAGCGGCGTCTCCCTAATCATCTTCCCCACAGTGCCCCTGCCTGCTCTGCCTGCCCCCTTCCTCCAAGAGCCAACGTCTGGTTTTGGGGTGCTGCCTTCTGCTTCCACCACGGAGAGCTTAAGAACACCACACGGGGGGCCATCTGTCTCTGCTGCTGGCCCCGCTGAGGATGCCCCGCTACTACGGGGTGCTTGGGCGAAGCTTGGTGAATTTGCTAGAATGAAATAAAGAAGCGTCGTGGTGGGCTGCAGGCAGAAGTGCTTGGAAGACCAGGGAGAGGCAGTCTGGACGGTTGGCTGGAACTGGTTCCTCCATCCTGAGCCCGGCCAGCCCTTCCTTCCTTGGTCCCATCTCCACACCCAGCTCTCACTCTGATTCTCTCGGGAGTCCACACACTGTGGTGCTGACTGCTCTTAACCTCCGCCCACCCTACTCCTGATCTGAAGACTGTGGTGGCCAAGTGGCTCCCACATGCCCCCCTGCAGTGTGCCCCTGCCCAGCCCCTAGGAATCTTGAGTGCTGCATCCAGCCCTCTCCCCTCTCTTCCCACTGCAGGCTTCCCCAGCCGACTGTGCACCCCAAGAGAGCTGGTGAAATTCCTCACTGCCGTCATCTTCAACTGCTCCGCGCAGCACGCCGCGGTCAACAGTGGGCAGGTCAGGCAGCCAGGACAGGCCTGGCTGGGGTGGGAGTTGGGCACACAAGGCTAGACTCAGGAGCAGAGCGGTGGCCGGAGTGCAGGCTGGGAGGCTGGGTGGGTCAGGGTTGGGGTGGGATCATGCTCAGGACTGGGGTTGGAGCAACCACTGGGTGGAGTGGAGGGCTGGTGCTGAGTGATGATTGGGGTGGAGCTGGATCAAGATGGGAACGGCGACTCAGGTTGGTGGTATGCTGGGAACAGACGGGATGAGCTCCTGCTGGAGTTGGGTCCTGGCTGGGTGGAGGATGCTCCGTGCGGCATGCCAGCCCCAGGCTCTTTTCCAGGGTTGCCGCCTCTCTATACTCTCCTTTGCCCCTTGTGCCTCACTCCGCTGGATTATTGGGCGGGGAGTGGCCCGGGATGAGCTGGACTCCCATCCCATGTCTGGGGCTTGACACCCTGCGTCCCTCCTCTGTTCCCTTTCCCTGGTGCCCTCAGCCCCCAACTGTAAGCTGGAGGCAGGAGCGAGGGACGACGAAGCGAGTCCTTCCTCTCTGGTTGATTGGCCCAATGGGGGCGGGTCTCTGCAGCATGACTTTGGGGCATGGATGCCCAATGCTCCATCATCGATGAGGCAGCCCCCACCCCAGACCAAGGGAACCACTACCTTGGAGAGTTACCTAGATACCCTCCCAGAAGTGAACATCACCTGTAACAACCTACTCCTCTTCTGGTTGGTCAGCCAAGAGCCCAAGGACCAGGTGTGTATGCGTGTGCATGCGAGGGGGCGGAGGGTGTTGAGGGGCGGTCTTTGCAGGATCTGGGGAGTGGAGGTGGTGGTGGTCTTCCAGGAGGGCTTAGGGACCGACTGCTTGGATTTGTGCCTACTACTTGGCTGCCTGGGCTTTGCCACCATCTTGGCAGTTGATCCCAACAGACATACTTGGCAGCAAATACCAGTTTAGTGGCTGGAATCTCACTTCCCTCCAACTTCTCCACTCTCCGGTCCACTCATTCATCGGCCCATGAAGTCCTGCGTCCACATGACCGTTCACTGAACCACTCTCCCCTTCATGTAAACGTTCAACAAACACTGGTTGGCTATCCCCTATGTGCTCACCAGGCCTGTACAGTCTGTGACTGTAAGAAGCTCGGGGTCTAGTGGGGGAGACCCACAGGTAAGCGATAGAGGGCGTAAGGACCGATCCACTGGGACTGACAGTCTAGGGAAACCCGGGAAGCCTTCTCGGAGGAAGTAATGTCTCAGCGGCAGTTTGCAGGGCCAGTTGGAGTCAGGCAAGTTGGAAGGGGAGGGTTCTTTTTCTAAGAAGGACGCAGACCAAGGAGTGAAGGGAGAATCCAGGATGTATTCACAGGGCCACCAGTGGCTCGCTGTGGCCCAAAATGTAGGGTGGACAGGAACGTTGGGCTTTGTTCAAGGGCAGGGGGGGGGGCGCGGAGTTTGCAGGCTAGGGGGATGTGGTGAACTCGGTGTTAGAGCAAAGCACTGCAGCTGTGTGGCTGCGTGAGAGGAGTCACGTCGTCGTCGGAGGCAGGAAGACGGCTGTGGAGTCCAGGTGGGGGACTAACCTTTGAGTCAGCAGTTACCATCAATTCCACTCACACTACACGGCCAGTCATGCCTCTGCTCTACTGGTCTGGCTCACCAGGGCCCTGTCATGTGACGCTCCCGTTTCTCATGCTTGACTCTGGTTGGTGTTAGGAAAGGGTTGACATTTTGACTTCCTAACAAACCCCAACTTCGAATGTTATATCCCGGGAATGGCAGGAACCAGTCCCTGGGCCCCACCCTTTCTGCTCCAAGATGTTGGAGACGTTCATTTCTGTCTTGGTGAGGGTGAGGTGGCGGATTGCGTCCTCATAAGCCACGGGGATATTTATTCTGGAAAATTATAACAACAGCAACAACAATAAAAGCAGCGCCCGGGGCTGTCTTTGAGCCTCTTCTGACTCCTGACGACCCCTTGCGGGTCAGAGTAGAGCCATGACCCACAGGATCCTCAATGACTGATTTTGGGGTGGGGTGGGGTAGGGGTTGGATAGATCTTCATGCCTCTGGGTGGATGCCAACTGCCAGCTTCCCAGTTAGGAGTTAAGCAGCTGAGTACTTGAACGGTTCCTCTGTACAGCAAGAAGCCCAACTCAATTCCCACGCAGAGTGACCCTTACCGGACTGCCCCTGTGGGTCTCCAAGGCTGTAACTCTTTACAGAATAGAAAGCTTCCCCTTTCTCCAGAGGAGCAGCTGGGGTTTGCAACCTACCAGCCTTGCGGTTGGCAGCCCAGTGGGCACCCACTCTTCCTCGAGGGCTGCTCAGAACACACTAAAGCCATGCGCACGTCTACAAGGGTGGGAAACCCGAACCCTCGTCCTCCAAAGGGAGCCTCTACTAAACCTGTAAGGAGCGTGTCATTCCTAAATTATTTCAACTTCTCCACAGAAAACAGAGGTAAAATGATTTTATTGGATTGCAGCACTAGTAGTATAAGTAGTATAGTAAAAGTATTACATGACAAAAGTATTATTAGAAGGGAGATGGGTCTAACATATAGGATTCTAGCTCCACCCCCAACACTTACCACATATATGATGTTGGAATGTGAAATAACCCCTGGAAGCCTTTGTTTCCCTGCCTGTAAAATGGGCTTGATAAGAGTCCTTGACTTCCAAAGTTGTTATTGTAAAGTGCTCATAACATGTTAGCTGCTATTAAGAACATAAAATTATAACCTCGTTTCACCTAGCTACAACCACCTTAGCACTCTATCAGCCAAGGAAGGCCAACAGTGAATAGTGAAACAATCATAATATACCACGATCGAGGCTGGTTTATTCTAGGAATGTAATGTTGCCTCAGTCTTATGAAAGCCAACCACGTAACTCCTCCTGTCACATCATCATCTCAATATCTGCTGAAAGGCATTGCTGCTAATAAAAACAGAGTCTACAAGAAAACGCCCTTAAGGAGTTTTTGATACAAAGAAGAAGTTTTTGATACAAAGTATATCTGAGGAAACACTACCTATGGTGAACCAGTAGAGGTTCCTCATTAAAATTAAAGGCAAGAAAATAATTTCCACTCGTGCTTCTGTTTATTATTTAACAGTGGCGCTTTTTGCCTGTGCAGTAAGACAAGGGGGAAAAAAAACCTTTGAAAACACCCATCTTATTGGCAGCAGTGCTATTGTCAAGGGAAGCAGGTGCTGGCTGGACGCCTAGGGCCCAGGCGCGGGGAGGGTGAGTTGGTTGCGTGTTGTGGACTGTGTCCGTAGAGGGAGGGGCAATTCTGTACTGCCCGAGGAGAGGATGCCAGTGGATGGAAGTGGTGCCTATTCGTTGCGATATTTCCCGATGTGCTTGGCTGGGCTGTAAAGTGTGACAGCACAGGGTGATGGTGACTCTGCGGGCAAGACTGTCCTGGTGGCGATGGTGAAGACACTTCACAGCGTTGGCTTGTCTTTAGAGGGTGAGTTTTGTGAAACTGCGAGCGCACGCGTGTGCGCGTGTGCATGTTTGCGAGAGCGTTTACGTTCACTTCAGCTGGCTCCCGAGGCATCGTGTCCTTGTTGCTCATGGGGCGGTGGGTCAGGTCCTGGAAGGGGCCCTGACATATTGGGGTTCAAGCTATTCGTTTTCAGGTACAGAGACCAAGTCTCAGAGAGTCAGGTCATCCAGAGAGTTACCAGCAGAGGGGGACGAAGATGTTGGCTGTGGGCTTGGGGTCTGGGGAGCTGTTCTGGGTCGGGCTGCATGGAATGGGGTTTGGGGTTGTGGCTTGAAGGGTTTGTGATGATAATGGCTGGAGCGGGTTGTGCCTCTGGAGACCACCTGAATTGTATGGATGGGCCAGTGTGCTCCTTCATCGTTCTTCGCCCGATCCTGAGCATCATCCTAATCCCTGGCCTGTTCTCTTCCCAGAGGCCCCTCGGCACCTACCCGGATGAGCACTTTACCGAGGAGATCCCACGGCAGAGCATTGCGGCGTTCCAGTGCCGCCTGGCCCAGATCTCAAGGGACATCCGAGAGCGGAACCAGAGCCTGGCGCTGCCCTATACCTACTTAGACCCTCCCCTTATAGAGAACAGTGTCTCCATCTAACCCCGCCTCCTGCCACCCTGGAGGAAAAGTCTAAGCATGAGGAGCGCCAGTCAGTCTCTCAGGGTCCTTCGGACCCTTCTATCTTCTCTGCCATTGTCAGACTGAACCTTCTCCTCTGCCCCTGGGGACCTCTTCCTACCCAAGTGGCTTGGGCATCATCTGAATTGGGCCCCGACCTAGCAGTAATCCAGGGTGAGAAGCCGCTGGCTAAAGTCAAACACGCAACAAGTCCACCCAACTGGAGGGAGCCCCCCATTACCCCTTCCCCTGATTTGGGTGGCCTCCTGTTTCACTCTCCTGTGGGAATCTACCTCCTCCCATCGGACCCAGCAGGGTCCCCAAGCTCTCACTCCTAGCCGCCCTGAAGCCCAAGGCTCCTGTTTTGGACCTTGCCTCAATGTTTCCCTCTCTACCAAGCCTACAGCTCAGCAATGCAGCCCTCTGCTCTGGAAGAATCCGGGGAGGGGGCAAGGGAGGGGTGTGTGTTCCTGACCTGATCTGTGGTCCCCTTTGACCCCAGCCTTTTTGTGGAGAAGGAAGGAACTGGAATCCGGCTCGTCTGGATCCCTAGTTCGGTGTCCAGGGACTGGGATCCGTGGCTGGGTAGTGTTTGTGGGGAGGGAGTCTCGCTCCAGCTCTTATCCTATCCCCACTCTCATTCCATTTTCTTTCCGTCTGTCTGTCTGTCCTTGAGCCCAGTGAGTTCAATTAAAATATGTCTGGTATCCGGTTCCCTTTTCATTTTTCTGTTTGGGTGTGTGTGTGTTTGTACATGGGTGGTACTAGGGAAGTAGGGTGCTATGGTTGACAGGTCATCTGTTCCGGACACAGGATGCTTCTCAACCCAACCTATCATCAGTCAAACCCTACCTTCATTTCACAAAGGATGTCATCAGGTTTGGGAGGGGGGGGAGGGGGGGAAGCTGGGCAGGTAGGAAAAAAGTAGCATCACAGTACAGCTTCTAGGTGTGGTAGGTGCTAGTCTTGCGCATTGAAATCTCTCTCTCTTCTTCTGCACAATCCAAGACTCAGCCTCTGGCCTTCCTGTGCGATGGGTGGGGTCACAGAACTCGTTGGGGCTCTCAAGCCGGGAGCTGAAGTCATGGGGGCCCTCGCTAGGCAGGAGCCTTTAATGGCTGATGCGAGACCTCCCAGAAGTCTCTTTTTTCTGCCCCTCTCATGGTGGGAAGCAGTCCTGTAGGCTAGGCGTTGGGGTGCTAACTGCAGGATCGGTAGTTCCAACCCGTCAGCTGCTCTGCTGGAGAAAGATGAGGCTGTCCTGTGAATGCACCAGTCTCAGAGCCCTCTGTGGAGCCCTGGGCCCCCCGCGCCAGAACGGACCTCATGACAGTGGCTGAGTGTGGTCCAAGGACATGAGATGGCCGGTGTCCCTGTGACCTGAGCAGAGAGCCCTCTGCCACCCGGGGCGGGACTTGGCGCTGAGCAAGAAATCAGTGTTTCCTGGGGGAAGGCATTGGCATGATGAGACTGTTTGTTGTTGTAGCACAAGCTAGTGCAGACTGGTGGATAAAGGGGATCGATCATCCAAGCGGGCTGATTTTCTTCCATCTAGCCCCATAAACTGGAAACCCACTGCCATCCAGGTGAATTCGACTCATAGCAGCCTTACAGGACACAGGAGAACTGCGCCCACGCTCGGGCTTCTGAGGCTGTGGACCTTCTGAGACGCTGTCTGCCTCCTCTTCCTCCCATGGAGTGGCTGATGGGTCAAATTGCTGACGTCCGAGTCTGATGCTAAAGGCACTGAGCCACCATGGCTCTATGCGGCCCCGTCCATCACTTTTATCACAGAGACACGGGAAGTGCTCAGATCGGATTTGCTGGTCGCTTGCTTCCCTAGGGCTGAGTTACAGCCCACCTGAGATACGACCTCTGCCTTGACCCCAGTCTCTCCATGGCCGGAGTCCCACTATCTTTGCACAACGACGGGGTAGCTGCTCATCCATCCTTAGGGAGCTGGTGACAGGGAAGCCTGTCAGGTTCCATGTCAGAAAAAACTGGAAACCCACCTAGTGTCTCATGGGGGATGGGCTTCGCAAGACTGCAGAGGGTGGCAGGCCGGCTCTGGGTTGCTCCGGGCCATGGGGATGCACCAGCAAAACCCAAATATAACCCCACTCACTGCCTTTGGGTTGATTTCAACGCCTAGCACCCCTATCGGACAGGGTAGAACTGCCCCTGTGAGCAGTGGTGGGCTTCAACCTGTTCTGATGGTTGGACAGAATTGATAACTAATTTTTTGTTGAGTTTGGTAAACCGATTGTTAAAACGGCACTTGTGATCAGGATTCTCTCTAAGGTGGCTAGGTCTAAGCTAAGGTGGCTTAGAGATTCTCTCTAAGGTCTCTAATGAAGCAGCATCAATTTGATGGCAGTTGGGGTGGGGGGGGGGATGGTGTTTGTTTGTCTGTCTGTTGTCTCACAGACCCAGGAAAAACCACTGTCCTTCTCTTCCTTCTAACCCAGTGGTTCTCAACCTTCCTCATGCCGCGACCCTTTCATACAGTTCCTCATGTTGTGGAGACCCCCCTGAACCGTAACATTATGTTTGTGGCTACTTCATCACTGTGATTTTGCTACTGTTATGAATCAGGCCACCCCCATGAAAGGGTCGTTCGGCCCCCAAAGGAGTCTCGACCCACAAGTTGAGAATCCGCTGTTCTAACCCAGCAAGCTTCTCCTAATCCACCCAATCCCATCTCCCTGTGCTGCAGTGTGGGAGTGGCCTGGGGCAGTCTAGATGCCAAAGGCTGGCTTTTCCCTTCCTGCCCCTGTGACTTGTTTATGGATCTCCCCTGCAGCTCCAGGCCAAGACTTTGACCCCTGAATCACCAGATCTGATTAAATTTTGAACAAACTCAAAGGACTAAGACATTCCCAGTCATTGGAAATGCCTAAAACCAAACACTGCCGCGGAGTTGATTCTGGCTGACAGCGACCCTACAGGACAGGGTTGAACCGCCCATGTAGGTTTCCAAGACTACACCTCTAATAGAAAGCCTCATCATTTTGCCAAGGAGAGGCTGGTGGTTTCGAACTGCTGACCTCTCGTAACCACTACACCACCAGGACTCCCACTCCTGCCTGGAAATACTCAGGAGGCTCCAAATACCAGTGATCATCAAGATGATGAGCAGGCAGCGTTTTGCTCTATTTTCTGTTATACATTAGGGCACCATGCGTCAGAGCCAACGCAAATGCAGTAACCAGGACAGATGTTATCTGGGACATGTTGGCCCTGAACTTTGTGTTGCTAAGGATGTCTGCTGAACCCCAGGAAGTGACTGTCAAGTGCTTGAGAAAGGAGGAAGAGCCAGGGACTCATTGCTATCAAGTGGATTCCGACTGATAGCGACCCTATAGGACAGGGTAGCCCTGCCCCTGTGTGTTCGTTCCCAAGACGGTAACTCTTTACAGGAGTAGAAAGCCGCGTCTTTCTTCTTCGAGGCTGAGGAAGAGGTTTTCAATCTCTGCGAGTGCTTGTGTAGTTTAGACAACCGTCGTCTGGTGGTGTCGTGGTTATGTTCATCACAAGGTCAGCAGTTCGAAACCACCAGATGCTCTTCAGGAGAAAAAGGAGGCTTTCTCACATAGCTTTCATAAAAAGTTATAGTCTGAGAAACCCACAGGGGCGGTTCTACCCTGGCCTATAAGGTAACATGTGTCCGCATCCACTTGATGGCAGTGAGGATTTTTGCTTTTGTTTTTTTTTAAATAAAATAACTGGGTAGGTGAAATGGAACGATACACTTTAGATTAGATGTACTCTAGAAAAGCGATGATTTAAGAAGCAGAATGGATTTACGTGCGTGTCCCTCTTCCTCCCTCTCTTGTTTCTTTCCAAGAGTTTTATTGGCATATAATTCACACTTCATATGATTTGATAGTTCAATCACATCAAGAAGAGTTGTGCAATTGTCCCCACATCCGTTCTAGAACATTTTCTTCATGCTTGTACTTGTGGGTGTTAGCTCCCTCTCTCCTTCGTAAGAGACAAAGAGGACACAAGGAGTCAACCTGGTCTCCTGCAGGGAACAGGAGGGACTAGCCTCGTCAACCTGGGAGCCCACTCCACTCAACAAGAAGCAGGACCCAGAGGCGCCACCTTGTGACAGGTAGCAGCTAGACGCTGGGGCGCCTTCAACCTTGATTTCAAATCCAGGGAACAGCAAGTCACCACGTGTTAGAATCATGACGGGTCTTTCAGGCAGCCTGTAGCCCAGGGAGGAGGAACACCCTTGGCTTGCACGACAGCATCGGAAGACACCCCCATCTTAAAAATGCCCCCGAACGAGAGAGAAGGATGAGGGCCAAGCACTGGAATTTGGTTTCCACCTTGAAGGCGATGTATTGGAGGGACAGACACATCATCCTATCCATAGGGACTTGGCAGGGTGCTCATGTCAAATCGTCAGACAGCAAGCTTCCCCTGCCTGCCTGAGCCCCGCTGTGCTTTCCATCAGCCTGGTACAGCGAGGCACATGCCACCCTCTTCCTCAGCTCAGCCACCAGGCTCTGCTGGACCTGGAGCAAGTCCCTCAGCCTCTGTGGCCTGAATTTGTCATAGACAGGGGAGGGATGGAAAGATCTGGAAAGTCCCCACCGGTGTTGACAGTCGAGTGAGGATCTGTCTGCTTCTCGGTTCCTGTAGCCCTGACACTGTTCTGGGTGCCAGGAAACAGCTGCTATCTCGCCAGGCATGCTCCCTGCCTCCACTAACTTCTAGGTGGTGAGACAGATGAGAAATGGGAATGCATAGAACCCGTCAGATGGTGTTAAGTGCAGTGGGAGAGCAATCCTTGCCTGCTAGCATGGATTGGGGTGCAGGGTGCAGAGGAGGCTTTGAAGGGTGGTCGGGAACCGAGGGGGTGACGAGCGGAGACCTGGATGTCAAAAATAAAGCACTCTTGAAAGTGCTTGGGGGAAGGTGTTATGGGTGGAATTGCATCTCCCAGTAAATACATGTTAGATGGAGATTAGCATCAGCACGGTGGGCCATCTGACCTCCTTAAAGGTCACAAGCGGGAAAGAGAACCGAAATCAATAGGGCAAGGCCGATGCCTCTGAGATGGGGGTTCGACATGTCCCCTCTCTGCAGCCCTTTTATCAATGCTGATTCCAGCTGGCCCCCACACGGCCCCCTCATCCTCTGCTGGGTTTAATCATTTGTTGCAATGGCCACGCCGCACAGAACTCCCAGATAATACTCAGGATGAAGGGGTTTAGTTGAGAAGTCACAGGCTAAAAATCAGGATCAGAAATGACTTAGGATACAGTTCTTCAATCAGAAGAGCCTCTTTTTAGCCAGTCCCCTGAGTAAGCGTCTCTCTGGCTCTCTGGCTCTCAGCCCCTTTGGCTTGACCTCTGCTTTTTCACGATGCCAATGAGCACCTGGAGGCATACAAACCTGTAAACCTCTGCTACATGCCACTGAGCTTTCTAGGTCTGGAGCCACCTCACTCTGTAGCCTGGGAAGCCCCCTGTGCCACCTTGTGCCAGTCTGCTAGTTCTGTGTGCCCGTCTCTCTGCCACTGCTTCTTGCTGTCTTACGTAACATCTCCAGTGTTACAGCTCTCTGTCTCCTCAGTCTCAGAGGTCCTCAGTCCAGGGACTCTCGGTCCAAAGGACACACTCCATTGCTGGCTCTTCCTTCTTGGTCCCTTTGCCACCTTCGGGATGGCTCCCGTCAAGCCTTTCTGGGTGGC